ATGAAGACCACTTTTGTAATATACCTTTTCACATGCATTTTCTACATTCAGGCCTACAAGGCTGTTATATGTCATGGCTTGGACACAGCATTAAGTCATAAGAAACAAGTGTAATTCCTACGATCAGGATGAAGGCCTACCATCAAAATACCTTCACAACATCGCTGGTGATTAAGGTGTTTGGGAAGCGACATTGTATTAGGATAACGTAAATTCTGGAAGTACGAGGCTTCGGCATAATGCCTATAAACATGATAAACAATTTGTCAGAAGTCAAATATTTCCGTCGGCTTTTGAGTAAAAGCTTGCAAACAGCGTGATTTGCATTCTCTAGCTGCAATTCTACTAGGAAATCATGTTTCGATCAAATTTGCCTCTTAGAGTACTGTAGCATTCAATATAGGCGCTGATAACGTCAAACATCATCAGCGCATTCTGTAGTAATGATGAAAAAATGCTTGTTCAGCTTCCTTTTAGATGAATTTGCTTAATGAACATTAAAGACCACAATGTATTTTGCGGCTGTCCTGAAACTACGCACAGCTAAGCCTACCACGTGGGATTTACAACGAATACAAAAACAGAAAATTATGTCACATCATTGTTTTTTCATGAGCTACTCGCAGTAAGTGCTGAACATTTCTAACAAAGAAAATAAAGCATTTTAAAGTGAAATTTGCCTTGTATTTACATTCTTTGCTTCAAGTACATCAATGTTTATGGAATAATACTAAACTCAGAAAATGCTAAATTGAAGATAACTGCTCAGCACATGCAAAGCCGCTAACAAATAAGAAAGTCAGAATAGGCAACAATATCCGACGATTGAATCAGGAGACGCGAATGGCCTATTTGCCCACTTCAAATTCCTAAATTTTTGCAAGGAAGCACATTTGAAGGGCAAAAGTTTTTAGTTGACAACAGGCGCATATGTAAACAGCCAAAAAACTTTCTAGCACTTTTGTTTGTGATAACAGTGCTACCCTAAAGTTATCACGCATCTTGTTCAATCCAAATTTTAAAAAAAAATTTCTGAACCTTACGAGTCTCTACGGCTATGTCTCACATTGTAAAGGGCGCAGATGGGATATTTTTCTTCATTTCCTAAAAACAGGGCTGATTTA